GTTTATTCAGAGTTCACCAGGCCCGCGTAAGAGTGGGTCCTGCAAAAGCACTTTCGCCAGACGTCAAGGACAATCTCCTTCTTTCCTTCTCCCTCTCCTTTCCTTTCCTTTCCTCTTTCCTTTACCTCTTCTAACTTCCCCCTTAACCCCATTTAACCCTCCCCCTTGGCGATTCCCCATTTCCTTTCCCTCCTCCCTTCACTCTTTCCCTTCCCTCCTCCCTTGCCCCTCTCCTTTCCATCTTCCTTTACCCCTCTCCCTTCCCCCTTAACCCCCCTTAATCCTCCCCCTCCCCTTTAGCCCCATACTCAAGCTTGGTCTAATCCGATTTCTCGTTCGTCTTTTGGGAAATTTTTTGACTCAGTGCGGGAGCTGAGAGAATGATGGAAGGAGAGAATGATGGTACTGGAGAGCAGTGATGGAAATGAGAAAGTGATGGTGCCGAGAGGATGATGGTGCTGAGAGGATGATGGTGCTGAGAGGATGATGGTGCTTAGAGAATGATGGTGCTGAGAGAATGATGGTGCTGAGATAGTGATGGTGCTGAGAAGGTGGTGGTGCTGAGAGAATGATAGTGCTAAGAGGATGATGGTGCTCAGAGAGTGGTGGTGCTAATAGAATGATGGTGCCGACAGGGTGATGGTGCTTATTGGATGATGGTGTTTAGAGAATGATGGTGCTGAGAGGATGATGGTGCTTAGAGAATGATGGTGCTGAGAGAATGATGGTGCTGAGAGAGTGATGGTGCTGAGAGGGTGATGGTGCTGAGAGAATGATAGGAAGTAAGAGGATGATGGTGCTCAGAGAGTGGTGGTGCTGATAGAATGATGGAAGCGACAGGGTGATGGTGCTTTATTGGATGATGGTGTTGAGAATGATGGTGCTGATAGGATGATGGTGCTTAGAGGAATGATGGTGGTGCTGAGAGAATGATGGTGCTGAGATAGATGGTGCTGAGAAAGTGATGGTGCCGAGAGGATGATGGTGCTGAGAGGATGATGGTGCTGAGAGGATGATGGTGCTTAGAGAATGATGGTGCTGAGAGAATGATGGTGCTGAGATAGTGATGGTGTTGAGAAGGTGGTGGTGCTGAGAGAATGATGGTGATAAGAGGATGATGGTGCTCAGAGGGTGATGGTGCTCAGAGGGTGGTGGTGCTGATAGAATGATGGTGACGATAGTGTGATGGTGCTTATAGGATGATGGTGTTTAGAGAATGATGGTGCTGAGAGAGTGATGGTGCTGAGAGAATGATGGTGCTGAGAGGATGATGGTGCTTAGAGAGTGATGGTGCTGAGAGAGTGATGGTGCTGAGAGAATGATGGTGCTGAGAGACTGATGGTGTTGAGAGAATGATGGTGCTGAGAGAATGATGGTGATGAGAGGATGATGGTGCTGAGAAAATGATGGTGCTGAGAGAATGATGGTGCTGAGAAAATGATGGAGCAGAGAGGGTTGTAAGTGGTGGCTAATGGAAGGATTACCTACCGAGGGATGACAGAGATTTTGATGGGTTATGGCGTTAAATATACATTAGTGGGGTCTGTTTGTTTCTCTGTCTATCGATCACTTGACAGATTCTGCTACCATCACCCCAGCTGAACACCACAACAGAAGCCCTACAAGCCTTATCACTCTCTAGCGTCGACACCTGGTGATGGTATCTTAACCTTGCCATGTGACGCCTTTGCTCTATAAGCTACTCAGAAGTACGTAATAGGCGGCACCTTCAAATAATTTCGTCTTTTCAGCGACAAAATTAATGAGGTACGGTGCTACAAATAGCATCAATAAGATATGTACGGCTGAGGAAAGTAAAAAGTAAGATTATAAAGCCTCTGTTTTCGTCGATAAATATATACTCCATATTGAGGTTATCATTGCTGCTAGACAACTGCTGGTTAGTTAGCTGCCTCGTTTGTTGGATATGCTGGTTATCTATGATCCAGTTGACAACGTTCCTATACACACAGACACACAGCCAGATACACAAGGCACACAAACATACACTTACGTACACACACACGGTTAAAACAGCGTACGCATTGTCCTCCTCCACCAGTCTTAAGACAACCGAGAGAAAATAAAGGCCCATCACCAGCTGTTCCATATTAAAGGAACCACAAGATGAATACACTCCTACTGACGCTACTTTGAAGGATGCCAGAAGTAGGAGGACATCTGTTGAGTGGGCCACATATAGTGTCAGTCTCTTATCAGACTCCTGGTGATGTGTGGTTGAAGAATAATGCACATAATACGATGAATTGTATTTAATCCAGGATGATTTTTATTTATCTAATTCACGAAGCATTAGTTCCCTGGTTATTAATTCCATGATAAACCCTACCCGAAGCACCGAGTCGTTGTTTCAGGGTTCAGTGTGATGGTGAACCTCCATCTGGTTACGGAGGCTCAAGGCTTGAACTAAGTTTATGCTTCAGAGATGTGCTGGGTTTATCCGAACCTTCAAGTCACTGTTTCTAGATGCAGTGTGGGGAATTGTGCCTCAGCGGACTGTACTTATCGGAAGCGGTTTTGAATCTCAGGAGTAATGAATCAGTTGTGATGGGAAAGCTCGGTGTTCCGGAGCTCCCTATAGAGCTGGTCTCGGAGGGTTACTAATACCCCAAGTGACTGAGACTCTGTTTTGATGGTAGAGACTGACTGAGATGCCGGGATGTAACACCTGATGCTTTGAACTCTTGTTATTAATTCAAGTGTGACGGTATAGTACACTAGCCAACAAAAGTCGTGTTGCCTCACTTCGCCTCGCCTCACGTCGCCTCTTTGGGTTCATGAACAGGCAGATGAGGCGACATGACTTGTTCGATGAGTGTACAATGAAAGAAAAAAGTCGTGTCGTGAAATTTGGTGAAAACATATGCCGAATGGCTAAACTTTTGATGCGCTCTGCCTTGTGGTAAAGGGCTCTAGTCTCATAATGTTTCACGAGTTATATTTAATCTTCAGACAAAACCGCGACACGACTTTTGTCTTTGATTGTACAATACAGCGCGCCACAGTATGGTACCCGGAATACGGATCTTGTATACAACTAACTCACTGCTCGGGAATGTATAAAATCGTCTTTTCGAGGAATATGATATTTTGAAAACAATTATATATGAACATTTCAAAAGAGTAAAAGTGACTGTCTCAGGTTCATTAAAGGTGTTGAAAATGTCATCCGTATTGAATGCACTCATATGAGTTAACTCTCAAAAGATGAATAGGGTGTGTAACTGGTTGTGTGTCGTCCAACCTATTCAAACTTGGCAAACAATTCTGCTAAACACCTCCACATCATTTTTCTTCTTTTTCATCACCCCCTCCTCCTCAAATCCCTCCCTTTCTCTAAGTCTCCACACACTACCTCTCCTGTTTCTTCTTCCTCCTCCTCCTGCTCCACCTCCACCTCATCTTCCATCCACTAAGGCACCTAGGCACTCTTTCCACACACTCCCCTCCCACCTAACATTCACCTAGCCACGTATAACGAGGCGTCATACTGGTACACAAAAAAAAACATGGCTTTGATATCTAGGGTAATTGGGATGTATATAAATCTGTGTAAAATGTTACCTGGGTACAATAAAGGTGTGTGTGTGTGTGTGTGTGTGTGTGTGTGTGTGTGTGTGTGTGTGTGTGTGTGTGTGTGTGTGTGTCTATTGTGTAAGTGTTGCCAATGCTACGGACGAAAAGAGACACAATAACACACGCTCACACTTCAAAGGGAAAATATATTTATTTATATATTTAGTTTTTAGTTGTTTTTCAGTTGTTTTAGGGTTGATGGAATTCCTTCTAGTTTTATGGGTCACTGGTTCGATCCCGGGGCAATACCAGTCCAGCCGGTCGAGTTTAGTATTAGCTACGAAAGAAAGAAACAAACAAACAAACAAACAAGTCAGGAAGACTCTCTGTGGCTATGAATGCTAACCAATATATATATATATATATATATATATATATATATATATATATATATATATATATATATATATATATATATATATATATATATATATATATATATAGCAATTATCTCATCTGCTTTGCTTTCTTTCTCTCATCAAAGATCAAAGATACGATTGTTCTCTCCCTCATAAGAAGGAAGACATCAAAGAAAACGGAAACAGGCGAAGGAGGAGTAGGTGGGGGAACGGGCAGGGGGGGACTTAGACATACATCATCATGGTTGGCAATCACTACCAGATTATTTTGATGTATATTATAATTTGTGGAAAGGTATAGATCGTCTTCTGCCTTAAGAGAAATTGGATTAGATCGTCAACTAATTAGTATTTATTGAGGTAATTCTAGAACTCATAATTTTTTTTTACTAATGGGTAAAGGTTAAAACAATAAATAAATAACAAAAATATGTATTTTCTCCCACACAGGTAAAGTGTCACGATACGTTTAATTATCCTCTCTCTCTCTCTCTTGCCTGTTTGTCTATCTTTCTCTTTAAAACAATGTGCTTCGGGCTAGACTTATGTGACCGGACGACGAGACAGATAAACTATATGACAGATAAACGACGTGACAGATAAACGACGTGACAGATAAATGACGTGACAGATAAACGACGTGACAGATAAATGACGTGACAGATAAACGACGTGACAGATAAATGACGTGACAGATAAACGACGTGACAGATAAATGACGTGACAGATAAACGACGTGACAGCTGAAGGATAGTCAGATCAGATAAAATTTTGGAGAAGGATGATGGTAATGGCTTGTGTGTGTGTGTGCGTGTGTGTGTGTGTGCGTGTCCCAGCTCTTGACTGACTACGTAAATGTATTTGACTGTACCATGAAGAAATAAATTTGTCAAACAGACTTCTTTCGGATATCGTGCTCATGACAACAATGACTGCACACACACACACACACACACACACACACACACACACACACACACGCACACACACACACACACACACACACATACACACACACACACACACACACACACACACACTCACCTGACACATGACGTTGACGTTAAAGGTGTTGAAGCCCAGTAGGTCGAGCCACACTAAGAACAAGATGAACAAGTAGGTGACGTCAGCGATGGCGAGGGCGGCCAGGTAGTAACTGGACGACCTCATCCTGAGCCGCGTGTTAAGGAAGACCACACAGGAGAGTAAGTTCCCCACGAAGCCCACCACGATCAACAGAGGCACGTAGTACATGTTGAGTTGTCGTACGATCCCCCACTGCTCGTCCGTGAAGTTGTAGTGCTCGTAGTCGTATATGTCACTTATATCGTATACGTCGTCGTGCTGCTGGTGGTGGTGGTGTGGCAGATGGGGCTCCTCCACGTCCTCGTCATGGTGAGCCTTGATGGTCTCCGTGCATGAGATGAGGATGATGTCGCCGCTCACGTTCTGGAAGCGACACAAGTTCTTGCCGAAGGAGTAGGAGGAGGAGGAGGAGGAGGATGATGGGGTGGAGGAGGACGCCGTGGATGATACTACTGGTGGAGGCATGATCGCCGCCGCAACAACGGGAGCGTGTGACCCCTGAGTCGTGTTCATTGTAGCGTCCCTCCCTCAGGTCCTGGCGCTGGTGGTGGTGGTGGTGGTAGGAGCCGTGACCGATAATGACGGTGGAGGTGAGGGTAGGGTCGCCTTCGGTTTTCCTGGTTTTATGTGCCACTCGTGTCCCTTGAAGGCGTTCATGTTGACCTCAAACACAATGTAAACACAAGGTGATCTCTATACCCATCTACAGTACCTAGTTGTATCTATTATACGCTACACACACACACACACTACTGGTATATATCTTTTATCTTCCGTGGAATATCTGTCTTATTTATCCACCAGTCACTGCACAATGCCGGTTTAGTTTCTTTAAGGACAGAATACCAATATCTTCAGGGGTATAGAGTAGCTGTCTATCTGTCTGTCTGTTTTATCTATGAGTCTTCCACGACACAGTACAGTACCAGCACGTTCTTGGGTACTACACTAACTCACTAAGGTCCAGCATCACTATATCTCTACCACGTAATTAATCACCTGAACTTAACACATGTAATTTACCCAAAATATTGTATAATTTCTCTATTTCCACACTTTGTATATTATTTGTATATATCGTGTATTTCTTCAATATTTTCAGTCTATTATTTCAGTTTTCCCACATTTTTTTTTTATAAATCAAGTAATTCAAATGAGTTAAAAATACACTTAGTGACAGGCGATGTTCGTTGAGTCTTTCCCCTGTGGAGAAGAAATAGCATTCATCTCACTGAAAAAAGTAATGCATAATAATATTAATGGCTATAGTACACACACACACACACACACACACACACACACACACACACACACACACACACAATCATAATAATGCACACTGAATCTTGGCCAAGACCTTCAGCTCTGTAATACAAAACACTACATAAGTCTCCCTGGCCCGAAGTAACAAAACATTGTCGTGTTGCTGGGAGAGGAGAAGAGACTGAACCTCTAAGGAGATATTTACGTGTGACCGAGTGAGGTAATTGCGTTGCTCTGGAGTCTAGTGAGATACGTCCTTTGGAGAGAAAGAGAGAACTCCTACGCTGTGGTTCTCTCTCTCTCTCTCTCTCTCTCTCTCTCTCTCTCTCTTTCTCTCTTTCTTCACTCTCATTCTTTAAACCTCTTGTTCCCTCCCTCTCACCCTTCTACTTCCCTCCCTCTTTCCTTCTCTCTTCTCCTTATCCCCACTCCTTCTCTCCCTCCCTCCCTCCCTCCCCCTCCCTCCCTCTCTCCCCTACCTCCCTCCTCCTCCTCCCTCCTCCCTCCCTCCTCCCTCCCTCCCTCCCTTCCTTTCCTCCCTCCCTCCCCTCCTTCTGTCCCTCCCTTCCTCCGTTCCTCCCTCTCTCCCTCCCACACTGTCACTCCAAACAGTCAGAAACTAAGATGGATGATCCAGGGTTCCAATAATATTTTAATTAGTATGGAGTATAATTTCCCCCCCATTAGTTAACCTCTCTCGTGATGTCGTTAATTAAGACCAGTATAATAGATTCATATTACTCTCTGAGCTTCTGGAATATACCAACTCGTTTTAAATCAGTCATGGAAGAATATTGATTTGTGTGTGTGTGTGTGTGTGTGTGTGTGTGTGTGTGTACATTTTTGAAGAATTTAAATATTTTCAGCTTTGACTATTCATTTTATTGTTATTGTTGTGATTAGTATTAGTTTGTTATTATTGAAATTTTCGTTATTATTATTGTTATTATTATTATTATTATTATTATTATTATTATTATTATTATTATTATTATTATTATTATTATTATTATTATTATTATTATTATTATTATTATTATTATTGTTATTATTATTATTATTATTATTATTATCAATGGTAGGACTCGTCATGGTATAATTAATGGTAGGACTTCAAGCTTATTGACCATGGCAGAGTTCATGGTAATCAACTTCTTACCGAATAATTACCACAAGGAAGTTCACCCCTCATTTGCATAAGAATATAAACGTATATTAATTATTTATTCTGGGGAGATAAATAAGTTCCCCTTTGTTATTTTGTTAATTTATTTTTTATTTTTTTATCTCTTAATGTTTTTTGATGAGTGATTTCCGTTTGTCCTGTGTTTTTATTTTGAAATTGTATGTATGTACGGTATGTATGTATGTTGTGGATGTATGTATGTATGTATGTATGTATGTATGTATGTATGTATGTATGTATGTATGTATGTATGTATGTATGTATGTATGTATATATGTTGTGGATGTATGTTGTATGTATGTATGCATGTATGTATGTATGTATGAATGTATGTATGTATGTATGTATATATGTTGTGGATGTATGTATGTATGTATGTACGTTTGCATGTATGTATAATATTAGTTGGTCAGTGACTACTATGTACAGTACGTGGTCAGTACCTTACATAACCTGGACAACTTATCTACATTTGAGAGAGAGAGAGAGAGAGAGAGAGAGAGAGAGAGAGAGAGAGAGAGAGAGAGAGAGAGAGAGAGAGAGAGAGAGAGAGAGAGAGAGAGAGACTAGCGTTATAGATTTATCCTTCGCGGGTCTGGTCTGGGGACACTGGCTAGGGGTAACGATAGTGAGGTCAGCTCTCGAGAGGAAGTGACACCAGCTGCTTTGATGCCTTAATCCAACTATCGTGGCTGGAAGGGTGTCTGTCATTTTATATATCTCGTCTTTGTGAGCATTTCATCTATACTTTTGGCTTAGGAGTCTTTAATCTATAATTTCCTCCCTTGTGATCACTTCATCTATATATTTGACGCCACTTGGAGTCTGTTATCTCTACTTGATGTCGTCTTTATGTTTAAGTGTGTTCGAAATGCTTATATTACCTACAATCTTGAGTCTTTCATCTATAGTTCTCAGTTACCTATAACCCATTGTGATTGGTTCGTCAATATATCACTTCATCGTGATTGGTCCGTCTATGATTTATCAGTGTGTACTTTCTCCAGTCGTGTTCACTTTACCATGTCGTGTTTACGTCGACGATAATTAATTTACGTTAATTACTATCCATAATTTATATATATTTTAATTTATATTGTCAAGGACTTAAATCGTTCTTTCAATGATAGGAACTTTTCTTTAGCTTTCAAGAGTGAGAACTTAGCTTTCAAGGATGCGAACTAAGCTTTCAACGATGGGAACTTAGCTTTCAAGGATTCGATCCTCGCTTTCAACGATGGGAACTTAGCTCTCAAGGATGGGAACTTAGCTTTCAAGGATGGGAATTAAGCTTTCAAGGATGGGAACTTAGCTTTCAAGGATGTGAACTTAGCTTTCAAGGATGGGAACTGAGCTTTCAAGGATGGGAACTTAGCTTTCAAGGATAGAAACTTAGTTTTCAAGGGTGGGAACTTTTCTATCAAGCCTAAGTGTGACGATGAAAACTTAACTTTTAATGGTATAAAATAGCTGTAGAGTTTAGCTTAAGATGAAAATGTAGCTTTTATAATGATGTAATAATGACCTCAGGTATAACAGATAAATAAGAGTTTGTTTGTGTATCTTACAACCACCCGCACCATCCTCCCCCCTCTCCTTCACCACCTCCTTCAGGCTATATCATCCCCCCTCTCTCCTTCAGTAACTCCTTCAGGATACATCCCCCCTCTCCTTCACCACCTCCTTCAGGCTATATCATCCCCCCTCTCTCCTTCAGTAACTCCTTCAGGATACTACCCCCATCTCCTTCACCACCTCCTTCAGGCTATTTCATCCCCCCTCTCTCTCCTTCAGTAACTCCTTCAGGATACTACCCCCATCTCCTTCACCACCTCCTTCAGGCTGTTCATCCCACCCTCTCTCCTTCAGTAACTCCTTCAGGATACATCCCCCCCCTCTCCTTCTACCCACCTCCTTCAGGCTATATCATCCCCCCTCTCTCCTTCAGTAACTCCTTCGGATACTACCCCCCTCTCCTTCACCACCTCCTTCAGGCTATTTCATCCCCCTCTCTCCTTCAGTAACTCCTTCAGGACCATCCCCTCTCCTTCACCACCTCCTTCCAGGCTATATCATCCCCCCTCTCTCTCTCCTTCAGTAACTCCTTCAGGATACATCCCCCTCTCCTTCACCACCTCCTTCAGGCTATATCATCCCCTCTCTCTCCTTCAGTAACTCCTTCAGGGCCACATCCCCCCTCTCCTTCATCACCTCCACTCCAAGCTACCCCCCCCCCTCTCCTTCAGGATCTTCTACAGGCTATTACCTAAGACACGTCCCCCGTGTATAAATTATAGTCCCCCCCCCCAACTCCCTCAAAATTACCAATAATTCAGGTGACAAGCAGGGTGATTATAGGCACCAGATGAGCTATAACTTGGTTGGTAGTCGCGGGGGACGGTGTGTGTGTGTGTGTGTGTGTGTGTGTGTGTGTGTGTGTGTGTGTGTGTGTGTGTGAAGGAGGAGGGTCAGGAAGGCCTTGCACTATCACACCTAACCCAACATACTGTCGTCCCAAATGACCAGACTCTCGCACTTTTCCTTATTAACACACACACACACACACACACACACACACACACACACACACACACACACTACCACTACCACAGCCATCCAGATTAAGGCAGAATGGACACTTCTTCTTCTTCTTCTTCCGTAATCAGTTTAGGGGCGTCATCACTCCTTCCTAAATAACTTACACTACAAGTTAACGATGAATTAATTCACTTCCGATTAGTTCAGTAAAACTCTAAAGGACTGACTAACTCTTCGCTAATTGGTCGACACAGCTCTTAAAAAGAAATTATCTTCAACCCGATTCGTCAATAATTGACAGCCAATCAGGGATCATATCCTCGGCTATTGGTTTGACCACAGCCAATTAGTGATTACCTTTGTGTTGATTGGTTGATAATTACCCGCCAGGAATTATCTGTTACCTGACTGGTTAATAAAGGAGAGCGAACATTCTCATAGCTAATTGGCCTAGAGGACAACACCTGGTAAAGAAACCTGGCCTGGTTAATGGCCAATTTCCTCGTAAAGAAGAAATTGTTTATTTTTCTCGAGGCAACACCAAGGGAGGAAGGGGGGGCAAACGTGGGCGGAGGGGAAATGGGGGGGGTTAGGAGAGTGGGGGAAGGGCAGATGGGAGAGAAGGTGGGTGGAGGGGAGAGGGAGATCAAGGATTGTAGAGGGGAGGGTA